GAACCAAAGAAACGTAGATTGCATTTAATTGATAAGCATCACTATCCCAAAAAATTTAATTTTACGATTGTTCAGACAGGAATAGTTCCATTCAGTATTAGAAATAAATTATATTATATTAAAAAGAAAAAATCGAAAAAAAAAGAAAAAGATGAAAAAAATAAGGCGAAGAAACTTAATGTTAGTAATGATAATAATAGTAATAGCAACAGCAGTAAAAATAACATTGAATCTTCTGATTCGATGGAAGTTGATAATTTAACAGAATCAATGAGAAAATTAAAAGTTAAAAATATTTCATTTGGAAGAAGATAAGAAAAATCAATTATAAATTTGACCATTTATTAAACTTGTTAATATTTTTAAATCACTTGATTTTTTTGCTAAACTTCTTATAAAATCTATTATGTTATTATCTCTTGTGAAATTTTTCTCTGAAAATATTATCATTAGAACAACAAATTCATCAATTCTGGTATAATAATATGAACTTCCAAATTTTTATCAAAAAAATATATTGTGTTTGCATGATTAAATAATGTGTGTTTTGATGGATCTTTATCATGCATAATAGAAAATAATATTTGCCCAATGATTTGAAAGTGTTTCCTAAGAAAAGGAAGAATAACATGGGTAGGTGTTGATAGAACTTACCATTATTCTTTACCTTTGGATAACTGTAAATACATGGAAAGGAGCTTAAGCCAAGTCGGTTTCTCATATTTCACTCCACCGCATGTGTAACCTTGTGAATAAAATGAAATATCATCTGATACTTCATATATCAGCAAAGTACTATGTGCATAGATTTCTTTCGAAATTACGAATCAGTATAACCGGAGACATTTTTCTTTCTTCCTTATTAATGCGAATATAAGGTGGGCGGTGACATTTTTAAATTTTAAAGTACTTTTCGAATCATAGTGTTGGCGGTGTCCTACTATTATTAATGCTCAAGTCGTACGATCATGATATTAAATTACGAATGCCCTTATTTATTACTATTATAAATACTCGACAGCTTTCCCTTCGGGGTAGATAGATTCGTTGTATATTTGAGATATTAATTTGTAAGTGATGAATTGATTATTTATGAAATAAAAATTTTACTTGGAAATTGTTGAGCAACCTGTTGAAGTATTTACTCAAGAGTAGTAATAAACAAACCAATATATAAATAAATTTAACAAGTGCACAATCATGAATAAATAAATAAATATTTCGGCCATTATTATAATAATAATAACGATAAATAAATTTACAATACATTTTACATCAGAAATTCATTCATTTGTTAAATCTATTTCACGAGAATCTATAAATATAATTTATTAGCATTAGTGTTGATATTGATTATTCAAACGTTAAAATCAATAGATTAACAGTAAAAATCGATAATAAAATCATAATAATTACCATTATGATTACCGATTATTGTAACTTTATTTGTATTCACAGGTTGAGGAAGATTTAAAAATTTCAATAACTTGCTAGTATAAACGGCATTTGAACGAACAATTGAAGCGATTGTCGATGGATCAAATTTTATTCTATCCATTTCATTAATTTCTCTTCTAATTGATTTTAATTCATCGAGTTGTTCTCGAGTATAATAATCATGTCTATCCATCCTAATCAAGTATTTATTAAATGCACCTTTCCAAAAACCAAAAGACTTTCTAATTTCTTTAGCATTTGGACGCTTGTTAGGATTAGCATCCATGCATCTATATGCCAATCTAATAAAAAATTTAGGAGTATTTTTTGAAAATCCTGGCCTTAGGCCCTCACAAATAGCCATTGCAAGATCTGAATCATGCGGAACATTTTTGAACGGTTGTTGACCTGCTGATATCAATGTCATCAGCACCCCAAAGCTATATATATCAGATCTAATTGTGTAAGCTTCACCTCTTAAGACTTCTGGTGCAACATATGGAAGTACCCCAAATACATTTTGATTAGCTGGACATGAAAATCCCAAGTCTGCAATGCGTGGATAGATAAAGTCATTTTGCTTTTTATATAGAATATTACCACTATGAAGGTCACGGTGAATAATTTCTTTTTCGTGAAGCTTTTCTAAACTGTTAATAATACTGTAAAGAATGTCTAGTTTATCTTTCCATTTTAAATTTTTAAATTCCTTTTTTAAACAATCGTGAAGATTTCCATCATTCATATATTCCATCACAAATATATATTCATTGGTGATTGGATCTTGTGATAATCCAAAAATATGAACTGTATTGATTCTTTTATAAAATTCAACGTAATTTTTGACCTGTAAAAAATTAAAATTTAAGAATTAAAAAATTTAGTTTTAGAAGTAATTACTTTTTCTATATTATAAAAATAAAAATAAAAATAAAAATAAAAAACCATGCCTCATTTAAAAATTCATCAGAAATAATTTGTATATCTTTTAACTTTTTTAATACAACAATCCTATTTCTTCTAGTTCGTTTGTTACTTTGGTTTATAGATTTAAGACCATTGATCCAAGAAGCTTTGTAAATAGTTGAAAAACAACCTTCACCTATCTTTTTGATATCTTTTAAATTTTTATAATCAATCCATTCAAAATAATAACGATTCTCATATCGTGTTGCTTTAAATTGTGTACTTTTTATTAATTCATCTAATGCTTCATTACCGCTTGTCCATCCTCGAGTTAATAATGGTGGGTCACATTTTTGACACCATGAATAAGAAGAATTGTATTGATTACAAGTTGAACATGCACCAAATTTTCTTTCTCTTACAAGGAAATATTCATCTTCTTTATTAAAATGATTAGTAGACTCAATTTTATTGTTGCTATTTGTATCATTGATAGGAATATTTCTGTTGTTATTGTCATCATCACCATCACTCAAATTTTTTTTCTTGAAATAATTTTTGAGTTTGTCCATTATTTTATTTATGGTTTTAAAAAAACTTTTTTCTTAAAAGAAAGTTGTTGTTTCACTAAATAGAAGATGAATTAACTTTTGTATGTTTACACAACCGTGAAACGTTGCTTTAATCTACAAACTGTTCGATCATGTTTGTTTCTTTCCAATTTAAAATGACAAATCGATCATGGTTGAAAAAGTGCCCACAGGTTTCCTTTTCAATTAAGCTTTGTTACACTTGTGACCGAATTATCTACTGCATATTGCAAAATTTATATTTGTGGTGACTTCGTCACCAACCAGTACAGATAAAGAGATTTGCGATTCGTACAACAAAATTTTATTATTTTTTATTTTGTTTTTACATGCCAAACGACGATAATATTAATTCTATTACAATTACAGTATTACTATCGAGTTACAGAAAATGGAAGTGAGTTGGCAGCAATTCTTTCTAAACGTTTGTATTCTGCTATCATTGATTGATCAGTAATAAATGCTTCCCTTGTAAATGCATTAATTTTAACCTTCTCCCAATCAGTGCAACGACTTAAAGATACATATGCTTGACCTGCTGCAAATATTTGGGAATCGAGACTAAGGGATATGTCAGGTAAAGTTAATGATTGTGTTTTATGTACTGTCAATGCAAAAGCATTTTGATTGGAAATTGTTCCCTACTTGCAGGAATATCATTCACTAAGAAATTTGATGTTTGTTTTTTGATATCCATATCTACTATTCCAGAGTGAACAGAAAAAACAACTCTCACTTTCATGTTTCCTACATCAACATCAGTTATTACTCCAATGGTACCATTGCAGATTTTGTGTTTTACCTGAGAGTTGTTGAGGAACATAACCCTTGCACCAATCTGAGCTCTCAAAATTTTTGGAAGGTTTGTTTTATTTTTAAACAGTTTGTCATTATCAAAATCTACAATCTTTCCACTTAACATATCGGTAGATTTGGATATTATAATTTTATTATCCAGAACAGATAAAAGATTACATATTGTCCTATTTATTTGATCAGCACATTCTCTGAGGCCAACAATATGTGTTGTGTTCAAGATAGACTCTACAGAGTTCTCAAGACTACCATGAAACTTCTCTTCTAATTCTGCCAAACCTGTTGTGAAATATTACCAATTCTGATATTTTGTAAGAGGTTGTAAAATTCAGGTCATCATTTGGTTGATGTGAATGGCAAAGAAAGAGTGGATAAAGTAATCTCCAAATAGGTAGCTTATATACATTACTGGTGGAAGTTGTGCAGGGTCTCTAATAATGATGAAATTTATGCCACCAAAAGGTTCGTGATTATAGTGAATTGATGAAAATATTTCAGATATGAAGGTCAACAGTGATGCTGACACCATTGAGATTTCATCAATTATTATCATGTCAATTTCAGGTTAAATTCTTTATCTACAAATGCTAATGTTTGATAATTTTCACCATTAGATCTAATTTTTAATGCAGAGTGAATTGTTTGCCCTTTGACATTTTGGGCTGAAATTCCTGTTGGAGTCATTAAGAGAAAATTTTTTCTTGAAGATGTAAATATTCTTTTCAACATATTAATTAGATAAGATTTTCCAATTCTGTATGCACTTCCAGTTATGAAAAAATAGGGACAATGGTATGGATCTCCCTTCCCCATAAAGTTCCTAATTATTTGAATACATCTGTATTGTCAACTTGGCAAGTACAGCATAGGATTGTTTGGAATAGCAGCAGGTACCATTTTTGTTTTTTCAAGTTGTTGTTTTATTAGTTCTTTTATATCACAGGATAACAATGGTTAAAGAGTCTCCATAAGTGCACAATACTGGTCCAGAATTTCAATGGTCTGATTATGTTGATGTTGCTGTTCAAAGTTCAACAACTGTAAAGAATTTTCAGTATATATGGCAAGATAATGCTCTCTGTAAGTTGTGTAAGATCCTATCAACTCTTGCTCACTTCTTACTGGAAAATTCAACAAAAGTCTTTGGTAAAAATATAATTCACCATGCCTCATGTGAAGAATTCTATATCTGACCAATATTTTTTTCTTCCTTTTAATAACATAATTTCCAAGGAGATCACAGAATATAGTTTATTTTGTTGAATTTAATGGTGACAAAGATATCTTATATTGTTCAAAATAATCTTTGTATAACATGGATTTAAAAGGTTCTCCAGTTGGGTGCCCAAAGTATTTCTCTATAAGATCTTTCCAATAGGGATTATCATCATCCAAATCAATCATTGAAATTGGTAATGCACATTTTGAGCAGATAGCAGGTGGATCAGTCACTAGGTATTTTACCTGAACTGAGGAATTACATATCTTTTCCCCAAGTAGTAAAAACATCAACTCCTGGAGCCTAAACGACATGCATGCACATGTTCACGAAATATGTCCCCTTCCTGTACATTGAAAAGGTGAGATGGTTCTGGTTTCACGGTTAAACTTGAAATATCTCTCACTACTACTACGTTGGTGTTGCAAAAAATGTGGGAGCGGCCGTTCTATTTATATATTTCGAATTTAATAAAATAGGCTATTGTCTTGATCTAAAATGTGATAATAATAAAGGGTAAAAGGCTTAAATTGCATTCTCGGTTGTAAACTTGTTAATTTAAAAAAAACATACCAGTCAGTAGTGATTTTTATCACGCCAACCAAGCATTAAAAACCAAATCTCTGTTTGCTTGGAAAAAAAAGATTTATTATTTGCATGATAAACAGTAAAGGACGTTTATCATGCGGAAAAGGTATCTACGTCGTAATAGATCATCAAAGGTAAATATATTATGTATGTTAATTTTAAAAACAAAAAATTCCTTCCCAAAAAATTAGGTTGAAGAAAACAGAGATTTTTCATTAGCTAGCTCATCTCTGCTCCTCTCGTGCTTAAGCGGAGAAAAAATGTTATTTGTTTACAACGGGTTGAAAATTTCAAAGCCTCAGATTTCTAAAAAAGAATTAAAAAAAACTAGCAAATGATTGTCGTTTCTAAAAACTCTTAAACAAAAAAGGTTCAAGTCATCTATAAATGTCACATAGCCAAAGAAATCATGCTTCTTGTCATAGTTCCTGAATCCTCTAGCTAAAAGTTCATATTCACCGACAGATTCATAATATTCTAGATTGTAAAAAATTATCTTCATTTTTTACTTTGTGGAAATTGTGACTTAACAGCCCCTTGTTATCAGTATTAATATCACTTCATCGACCATTAATTAATGTGTTTTCATCTTCATTACTATTAACTGGGAGGCTCATAATAATCAAGATCATTATTTGAATAATCAAATTCAAGCAGTCTAAGTTCCTTTCAATTATCAATGACCAATTTCCTATATATAATATACAGTTAAATATGCATTATCCACGATTAATTGAGCATCGAATTTGATGGTGCCAAATTTTACTGATAATATCTTCTTTAATCCAAAAATATGAATTATCAAATTAATTTGAAATAAAATATTTTATTTTATTTAGCAATATAGCAATAATGGATTATGATGGCATCGATGATAATGATATTTATTTAAGTTAAGATTTCAGGTGGTAAAATTATTCTTAATAAAATTAGAATTGAATCTCATCTGGGGATGATTATATTAAAATCTACTAATTTTGTCATAACTTGTTAAGATGATGCTTTGATAAAACAAATATACCAATGTTTTTTTATTATCTACCTATTAAATTTATCTCTATAGGCTGATACTAAACCGAAGATTTTTTTTTTGAAAACATTGACTTTGGTTTAATGAGTTCTGACTATAATTTGCTAATCTAATAACTAATCAACACTAATATATTAACCAATCAATCAATCATTTATTCACTCAGTCTTTAAGCCCAATAAGTTGAGGTCTTCTACTGAATTTTGGATTGAATCCTTTAAACCCTTTCATAATATCTTTGGTAGTGCTTATCCTTTTATCACGATCACTAAGATCATTATATGAGGGAATTGATTCCCATAATTTTTCTAAATTACGATATTTTCTTTCTTCAGGTGTGAATAAATGTACAAATATTGTTTCTGTATAAATCAACATCCATTCATCTGAATCTCTTCCTTCCACTATTGGATAACTTAGTGATGATGAATTGGACGCATCTAAATTTTGTTTCTTTATATTATCTTTCAACTAGACACATATGTAAAGATATAAAGATATGAAGATATATGTATATAAATGTGTTTATGTATATCAAATGCTCCTCTTTTTCAAGTAGAAATTATAATTACCATTTTATATAACCCATCAACTGCGCCACCCATATGCCTTGAACTTTTTCCTTCGCCAATTATCATCCAATCTGCAAAATCAGATTTCTTACTAACATCAATAATTGTAATATTTTCAATGCCTTCATCTTCTAAATATTTCACCATTTCCAAATGTTTTCCTCCTTCCCCTTCAAATTTTGATGTTGCTGATGACAGATCTGAAACAACTACAGATGCTTTACGCTGCCACATTGGTATAAAATCTTCATCATCGACAGCATTTTCTTGAGGATTCTCATATTTAGGATCAACAAACCATGTAAAATCTTCTTCCCTGGCACCTTTTACATCTTCATTATTTCCATCTTCGTCACTTAATTCATTTAATTCATTTTTTTCTGGAAATAATTCTGGATATAATGATTTATCAATATGCTCAACTTCAACTTTATCATCATTTCCTTCTACATCTACCATCTCTATTATATCTTCTTCTCTTTCATTATTCTTTTCATCTTTGTTTTTATCCTTTTCATGTTCATATGATACAGAAGCTTCATTTGGATTTTTACTTGATATTACATAAGTTCTTTTAAACAATAATAAATTGTTATTATGGATTGTAATTATTTTATTCAGTAATATATTTTTATTTTTATTAATATTAATAAGTTTAATATTATTATTATAATGATGATGATAATGATTACATTTAGGCAATTTTTTTGTCGTGAGAATAATTAATCTTCGAAATTGATTTAAATTCATTTTTTTGATCAAAAAAAGAAAATTTTACTCGTGTAACTTTATCTGTTTCCAAACCTCAAAATCCAACTGGAATATATAGAAAATGCGTACCATACTGAAGGCAAGTGAGTACCGTACTAAAAAAAATTACAAGTTCAACATGTAAATTCCATATTACCAATACCCCTTCCCTGGTACAGTACGCACTTTCTACATAACCATTTTTTCCCCTTTCTTCAGTATGGTACTCACTTGCCTTCAGTATGATATGCACTTTCTACATACAGATCTAATTGCTAGAGCCATTTTGGATAGTGCTTTACCAATTAAATAATAACAAGGCCAAAGCATTAGATGTAAAATCAATTGAACCTTATTTTGTAAGTTTTCAAAATTTCAACCTTCTCATCATTCATTTTCATCATTTAATTGTGATAGATAGAAGCACCTTATCCATTATTAACAAGTCTAATAAGAAAATATGTTCGTGATATGGCAATTGTTGATGATGCAAGAATGTGGTAATGATGTTGATGGAACACCTTCAAAATGGTAAAACAAATAATTGATAATAATGGTGATAATTAACAAAAGCATTTATCCAATCGGACTACCGTTCGATTCACATACAGGATATAGAACCGATTCAATCGTCCTTTGCCATTACCTTGGCTTGTAAATGTTCATTTTTAAAAACCTTTCTGCTGATAAACTAATAAGAGCGCTGCTCAAGATTTTTTCATGTCTATGATTAAAGAAATAGGATTTTCAAATTAATTTAATTAATAATTTGAAAATAATATTAAACGATAATAATATTGTGGGTCTGATTCATTTCATCAACAATCATTTCGTCGAAAGTTTGTTTCATCGAAAGTTCATTTCGTCGAAAATTATTTCGTCACTAGTTCTATATATCATTTAACAAATGAGATAAAACTGTTAATTATGATCACATTACAAATGACTAAATTTTGATCCCTGAAATTCTTGGTTATACCAATGTTCACTTTGTCTGGTTTTGTTGCAGCATGCCCCATATATCATTCAAAAATATATTTCCACAGGCGTATTGCTCCAAAAATTTGATATTAAAAAATTAATGTTAATGAACAAAAAACCAATGTTAGTAGCTGTTCTGAAAAAACTAATATTGTAGAAAAAATAGAGAAGCATATCAAAGGAAAGACAGTATTACTTTTATCTGTTCTATCATCTGTTCTACAGATAAAACTTCCTAATATGAATGATGAAGACTTTACTTGTGTCTGTTTGCCAAACCAGATAGTGTAAATTCAAAAAGTTTAGCTGCAGGTATAAAGGAACTTCTTACAGGAAAAAATACTCAAGCGCCTCATCATAATTAAAAGATAAAAAACATGATACAGTAACTGACTTATATCCAGTGGAATGGCATGAGGAAGCAGAAGCAAAACCAATCATTGTTGTAGAAGGAAGTAATGTTTTATCATATAATGAAATTATAAACATGGCTAATTGAAGATTTATTGTGTGCAGCTGATGACCTCCAGTTAATTTGAAGAATTAAAAGATCTCCTTATTATTATAAGATAGTTGGTGAATCCATAAAAGACAGAAGAAACTATGGGAAGGATATTCCTGAAGCCTTTTATTTGTAGACAAACATAACCAAACCATAAGCACATTCTTCCTACTGAAAAACATGCTGACTAATAAACTTGTCAGAAATTTGATAAGAATGCTGAAAAAATTGCCAAATTCATGGATTTATATTTAACAATGAAGAAGAATTCCAAAAGCAGTCAAAAGAAAATAGCTCACTATCTAAAATGAAATCCTATCAACAAAGTGAAAACAGGCCAGAAGGGAAGAAATTAACCCTTATTGAATTTATATTTTTGGACTAATTACTACAATGGAAGTTGTTAAATAATTACAAAGTTACGAAATAGGAAAAGAAAATAGCAAGATTACATTATATTGATAGTATATAATGGTGATAACTTAAATTTTGAACCCAGAAATTCTTGGTAGTACGAATGTTCGTATATGAGCAAGGCTACTAATAAATATTATTATTACAGTACTATTATTACATTCTAGATTTTTTTTTTTTACAAGAAACAAAAATAAATAAATTTTCTTTCCATCCACTCATTCACCATTATTAAATTATAGTTCAAACGTTTCATAATGAACTTTAAATAAACAAGTTTCATCACTCTCGATCACAGAAGCATTTCTAACTTTCCTCCTCATTATAGCTGGTCCACAAACACCAACTGCAATATCGCCAGCCACATTATATTGTTTAACGTCACGTAATAACAAATTGAAATCAGGTCTACCGAGGAAGAACAATGAAGACAGTGGTGTTGATATTGTTGTTGATTTAGTCAAAAATATCTTTACGTTTAATAAATATTTGTTATTTGGTAATGCTCGACTCTTTGATATTAATTCTTGTAATTCAAGTTCAAACCAACTATAAGAATCTAAGAAAATTTAAAAATTAAGATTAAAACTGAAATCATAATAATGATAATGACGATGATGAAAAATAGTTTACTATTTACCTAAATGAGGTATTAACCAACAAAAATGGATTGTTTGGGTTTTTAATGGAATATTTGTAAGTTGTCTATTAATTAAATCATTTAATATGCTAATCAGAGGAGTAACTCCAATTCCTCCACCAATTAACACGACTGTACTATATTGTGCAAAATCAAGACTGGTTTGCCATAAGGTCCGTCGACTTTTAATTTGAGTGGTGGTAATAATTGTTGTTGGTGTTGTTGTGATCTGATATACAATTGGTTAGAAAATCCTCCTTGAGATTTCATATGAAAACTTGCCATATTGTTATTATTGTCACTATTATGATCATCGTCATGCGCGTTGATAATACTTTTGGAGGAAGAAAATGAAATTGGGTGCCATGCAATCAATGATGTTGGTTGGTTTAAATTTGGTATATTTATAAACATATATTGACCTGCCGAGTAATAATAATTGAAATCAAATACCACTTTTGTTACGTTGGCTTGCATTGCTTCTATCGATATTATTTTAACATCCTTATATCCTATCAAAGACCTAATTATTCGATCAATTACATATAATCCAACACCGACACAAGTGAATGTGCTAAAGTTATCATTGTGTAATACGCCGAATATCACAAAAAAGATAAAATTAAAATGTGACCAATAAAAAAATTCAAAGAAACGTCTACGAAATAATGGATGAGATGTCAAAAATATTATAAACAATGAAACATAGGACAAAAATCCCCATAAATTAATTTTATCTAAAAATATTTGTGATAATGAATTGAAGTTTTGTTGCATTTGATATGAACCATGAAATGTTAACAACAAAAAAATTGTTTTACCAACCCATCGATGAAATGTGATTAATCTTTCAAATGGTACCCCAAATAATACTACAAATACTGAATTACGCGTTGCCAATGGAAATACAAATGCTGCATTTGCTAATGCTATATATGCACTTCTATTATATAGATCTGGCACCGTACTAATTCCATCTTGAAATGGTAGATATAAAAATATCAGATTCAAAGTAATAAATATCACCAATAATATTATTTCATTTATTGAAATTTCTCCAATTAAAGTGTAATCCAATACATAATTTAATATTTTATATATCCAAACAGTTATTTTAAAATGTATAGCAGTGTTGTTTTTATTATTATCACTATTATCCTTTACTGTGTCAAATTTTTCTTCATAGGATGGTAAATCCGGTAATTCTGGCCATTTTGAACCTGATAATAACAATTTTACTTGACTTATTTGATATATAGCCGAAAGAGCTACTACAATACTTAAAAATGTAAGACATTGGTAATATCCCGCTACAAAATTTGGTTCATCCATTGTAAAGGAGTAAAGGAAAAGTTTGATAGGTATGTAGAAATTATGAAAATGAAAGGAAGTTTTTATATGAGGCCAGCTCAAAAATTATATGTAAAAGAATAAAGGAATGGGAGGAAGAATAAACCAAAAAATTTTATTCGAATTATATATTCAACATATAACATATATGTGTATGAAAAGAATTTTTATATTCTAGAGTTGAAACACCTAATATTAATATAATTAATATACATCACACGCGTGTAACAATAAAATGATTTTTTTGCAAATATGGTAAGAATGCAAATTAATAATTTTTATTTTTTATAATTTAAGACATAATTAAAATTAAAAATTAAATTAAATAATAATGTAACTATAATTGATTAAAATAAGAATTTAATTATAAACCAAGTTACTGTATAGAATAAACAGAACATGATTGATAATAAACTTGTTCTAATATGAATTGGTAAATTATTATAAAGTTTTCCAGAATTTGGAATTGCAATATTGATAATATCAGGAATGACAACCATTACCATATTATATATATTTTTATCAATTTCTTTCCAACCAATAAGACAATCAGATTGATCGTCATCTATATAGGTACCTGGCATTGGTGTTTGTGTTAATTCTAATGTACTTTTGTTTTTCATTATAACATTTGATGATGATGATGATGATGATGATGATGTATTGTTACTGTTGTTGCTTGTGAAATCTAGTGGCGCAGTGTTTGGTGAAGTGTTATATTGCGTAGAAATAATTTTGGTGGTGGTAGGTGGTAATAATGATGGCGCAGAGAATCTTGTATTAACAACCGTTGGTGTTTTAACGCTTTCTAAATAAACAGAAGGTTGACGTGATAATGATAGATGTTGTTCATCTTTAATAGTTTGATTTTCTAAAAAAAACAATTTATTTAATTAAATAGTAATAATACCACTTTTTAATAAAAAAAACAAAAACAATACTTACTATCGATTGTTGAATAATGATAAACTAATTTATGATAAGTATCTGGTGAAAAATTAATCGGTTTAGGAAGGTTGTTAAATTCAAACACTCTGTCGGTATAGATGGCTTTAGGATGCCTCCATTCGATTCCTTTTTTTTTCTTTTTTACATAATCGTTGATATGAAATTCCATTCCTATGTTGTCAGATGATGTTGCCGGATCACTGCACAAATCCAGCCAAGATTGTAACCAGATATAAACTTCTTCAGCTTCTGGTCGATTGACAGGATTTGCATCCCAACATCGATTAATCAGTTTACCGAGTGAATTTGGCATTTCAGTAGCGTTGATATGAAGTCTAAGTCCACAACAGATACGTTGAGCAAGTGATATGTCATGAGCATCCAAATCAAATGGCGGCAATTGTGTGGCAACTTCCCACATAACAATGCCTAAACTATAAATATCAGACGCCGTAGTCAATTTTCCACCACATAAAACTTCAGGAGCAATATATGGTAATACGCCAGATACCATATTTGAATTTGATAACGATGGTTGTTGTGATATGTTTGATACCAGCGTATTGTTCATTAATCTTACTATGTTACCAGTATGAAGATTTCCATTAAATAAATTTTTCTCATGAAGACGATGAATAGTCAATGCAATGTCCGCTAAAATTTCTAGTTTTGTTTTCCAGTCATGCTCAATGTACGGTTGAGAATCATATAAATAGGATTGCATTTCCGTTTGTGAACAGCGAATTACCAATCCATATTTTCTAGTTTCTGGAATTTGGGTTATTCCAAAGCATCTAATTAATCCATCAACACCATTTTTATGAGAAGAAAACTTTTTTAAATAAAAAATAATTAGTCTATACAATCGAATAAATAAATCAATCAATCAATCAAAAAATTTAATTATTCACCTCAGCTAATAAATCAAAAGAATCTTTTTCGTCATATTCTTCAAAAACTTTAATTATATATTTAGTTTTAACATCGCTTCTTGCCCAATTTTGTGTTGTATTGTCCCACTCTGTTATGTATCCATCTAACCAGATTGCGGAATAAGCAACACCAAAACGTCCAGTTCCAATTGTTCTAATATCTGTAAAACGATTCCATGGAATCCATTCAATCACCTCGGAATGATCAGTAGCAGAAAATTGTATTGTTTTTATGTAATGATCAATTTCTTTATTACTGCTAGTCCAAGTTGATAATTTTTTTTGAAATCGTTCAGAATTACATTTTTTACACCAGTGTTTTGCTGTTTTCAAGTCACTAATGGTATTATTATTACCACTACTGCTGTGATTACACTCTAAACATATTTCAATTTTTTCATCAATAACGCGTCGTTCAATTTCTTTATCACTGGTTGTTGTTGTAGGTATGTCTTTTAAATTGAAAGAAAAATAATGATTTAATTTTGTTGTTGCAGGTTGTATTTCCATTTTTTACAATAAAATTATGGTTGTTTGTTTATAATATATGAAACAGGGAGGAATGAGTAATATGTTGAAGTATATTGTAATATGATAAATAATGTCACGATGAAAGACAGTGGTAAGTTAGTAAAAAGTAAAAAAGGTAAGCAACATACTCGTGGAATGTAAAAATATATATTTTAACTTTAAAAAGAAGAATAAATGTTTAGTAATAAAATATGAAAGACAATAATAATTTGTCAACATGAAATATAATAGGTTTATTTATCATTTTGTAAAAAGAACACAAATATAAACAACAATGAAAACAAATTTTATTAAATGAAAATCCGACCCTTTTAAGGATGTGGTATCTCATGTGACCTGATCAAATTAATTTAACAGTGTTGAAAATTCAATCGGCGGGTGTTACGTTACACAGAGCGTGTGCAAAAAAAATTAAATTAATTTCTCCTTGTTTTTTTACATTCCCAATTTTCATATGCTTTCAAAAAATCAAAATCCTCAATTTCTGGACCATTTAATAAAATCATTAAATGATCATCTAATGTATTTAGATGCATTTTGTTCCTCAAATTGTTTTTAATTAATTTCACTTGAGAAATATTCTTTCTACATGAGCATTAGAAAGAGGTATAAGAAGTGCTATTTTAACAACTAGTAGTATAGTTGGATAATTAAAAGAAAAATCGTTAACAGTATCCAAATGTGTTGCCATAATTGAATAAAATCCATTCCTCCATTATTATTTTTATAGAACTGAAGATAAGATTTAACTGAATTCCATTCTTGGTTAAGTTTTTCTTTATCAATGATTTCATTAAATTCATTTTCATTTACAAGTTTGATTTCCCCATAAAAATTACCTAAAATTTCTATTTCTTGATTTCCATACATGACTAACTCTGTGTCATCATCTGGAAGTTCCTTTGGATCAAAAATACTAAGAGCATTATATAATTCATATTCTGGAAATCTGTTCTTGATGGCATTAACGATTGCAATTGAATATTCTCTAACAAATGATGGAATAAAATTATAGTTATCTTCCAAATGTTTTTGGAATATTGTACCATAATTTGGTGGAACTTCTTCAGAACCTATAAATTCAGTTTCAATTGTTTTAATTGTAACATCAAGTTGTAATTTAAAATGAGATGTGGATAAATGTTCTAACTGGAATGCATTGATTATTTCTTTAAAATATTTGTTAAATCAGCAAGGTACATTGTTGCTGAAATGAAAGTATCATCTAATTGTTCATATAAAATTTCTGCAAGTCTATCTCCTTCTTCAATATAATCATTTAGAGTAGACAATACAGATTTCATGATTTTATGTAAATTACTCACAGAATTTGAAAATGACAACCACCTAGTATCACAAATGTTTAATATTACAAGTGATGGCTATTTGTTAATTTCCTAATTAAAATGAAAATTATTTAATAAAAATAAATGAAAAAACAGATTAAAAAATATAAATATAATTACCTGCATCAACTTCAACATTTGTTGTCTTTTATGAGATTTTGAAAAATAATTATACAAATTTTTTAAAGTTTTTTCATATTTCTCAAAATATATAACATCTTTTGAAGCATCTTTTCCAGCTAGATGAAGTCTATGTGATATATATACATGCAGCCCAAATTGGTTTGGTGATTTTGATAGTCAAGATTATTCCAATTTTGATGGTAGAAAGTAGAAATTAATTACGGCATTCACTATTAAAAGCATAAGTGTAACACCCCTTTACTACATGTGTAATCCCCTTTATGACAGTGTCAAAATACTTTGGGCTGCATGTATAGTGATATACAATGGTTTGAAGTCATAAATGGATTGATTTTTTAAATCTTGCTGCAACACCACTTATGTATCCTAATAAAAATGTATTCTCAGTTAAGATAAAAAAAAAATACTAAACTTTTACTTAATTAAATATTAATTCATACCAGTCATATTAGAAGCACCATCACTTCCAAAATGAATAATTTTATCATAAGATATTTCTTTTGAATTACAAAATGTTATAATTTGGTTAAATATATTTTCACCATCAGTCAAGTCTAGGTTAACCATACCTAAATATCTCATATATGGTATATTATTGATAATATATTTTCCTACTATTGCTAAATATTTGTCATTATCAACACTATTGGTTTCATCAATCATTATGCTCCAATAAACTGAGGAATTTAATTCTTCAAAGAGAGATTTTTTAATTGTATAAGCAATACTATCTAAAAAATCAATACCAGATACATGATTATTATAGTTTCCAAATTTTAATTTAGATGGTGATGGTTTTCCTAATGAAGCAGGTTTCAAGGTAGAGACTTTATCACTAATTATTAATTCTTTATTATTTTCAATTTATAGAGATGTTAATTTGCACAAATCAGGATAGGTGTTTAGAGGAATATTATTTTTTGAGCAGCAGTAAATAATTCTCATTAAAGAATTAATTTTAATTTTTCTGTACTAATTCTTGAAGTATCTGGTTTAAGTAACTCTTCTGATTTTTTATGTTCATTGGTTTTCATATGTTCTTTAATTCTTCCTAACCTTAATGAAGATGTGCCTTTTGCAAATGCTGTTGTCCCATTGCAAATTCTACAAATTCTACAATATAAAATTATATTTCCATTAACAGATTCAGTTTCCAACCATGGATAATCATCAAACCACTTAGGATCAACAGCTTTTCTAGTGTGTGATTTTTCAAGCACTTCATCATCAGACAAATCAATGACCATTGGAATATTTGACATTTTAAAATATTTGAAAGAAATCGGTTAATTGTTAATTTGGTAAAAAAATTTTTAGTAACAATTTATTTTTAATTTTTAATTTAATTTGTGTGTATTAATATAAATAAATATTTCCGTGCACATGTAAATTTGGTATAACGTGACACCCGCCGATTGAATTTTCAACACTGGTATATAATATTACCCGACATGGTAAAAAATGGATCAAGTGACTTATCACCTCCTTGGTGGGGAATAAGTTGTGGTGGACATTGCTGATGGGTTATTAGTATTAGTATTAATAATGTTAACTATTGACAGACTGTCAATTTCATCTTTCATATTTGTTGTCATTTCAAGAATTTTTTCTACCATAATTTTTAGTTGAGACAATTGTTTATAAATTCTTTAACAACACTTGGAGTGGCGGTTTTTCTTTCTGCTAAAAATTGCTCTAAATCAAAATTTTGTAAACTGACACCAGTAAAAAGCACCTTTGATTAAATCTGATGCAAAAACAGATGTGTGGCATCCTATTACTTGAATTCCTAAGATAGTAATTTTCTCTAACCTATCACATAACGAACTTGCCACAACATCATTACTATTTCTTTCATCAAAAAAGTTATTAGATCACTCATCAAAGCAATCTTTGCATATACGAACTAATTTTTTCTAGTCTAGATCTTCTTTATCATGTTGGGGAAATAGTCTCGAAACTTCAGCAAGAATTAGTTCATCTTCCACTGTACCTTGCTTCAATATGATTTGCAGATCTGGCTTTTTTCCTAAACTTGTAGACCCATCTGTTCTTTTCTCAACTGTGACGATTTACTTGTTTGCTCAGACCTATACATATATATATAGACATGAAATTATTAGTGCATCATATGTATATTCTAATATAAAAATTTGAAAAAATACATCACCATGCACACTTGAGCAGCCATCCAAAGATAGGATTCAAAATCTTGGATACTGCATGGATTATATAAGCATTCTCACCAGGGTTGGCAAATTGACTGTCCATTGAGAACAGATGGATTTTGGACTAGTCCATTGCCATTAATAAAATATTAAATATGGTTAAATGTTACACCAATGGACCATCAATAGACTATCAATGAACTGCACATTTGCCAACCATGATTCTCACTATATTCACTCTCTGTCAATAATGGTCTATAATTCCAAATATTGCATCTTCAAATAAAATATTCAATAAGATTATTAGTGCAAAAAGCTATTATTACTATTACTATTACTATTTAATATTAATATTATCACTTACAAGCCTTGAAATAACTCATAAGCTGTCATTATTAGGCAGCTATTATCAAGAGATGTTTTTTTGCATGGATAATCTATTGGCAGCATGCTTACTGGGTTGAAATTGTAACTCAAATCTTTATATGATTTAATGAAATCTTTCATCATCTTTTGTATCTGCTCTGTTAACTCAACACTATGGAATATATGTTGACTCAAAGTCTGCTTTGTCTCTGATGACAATAATTTTGAAAGCTGATCTTCATCTCTGATGGGGGGTTTCCTAACTAATGATTCATGAACAGACCACTAACCATCAGAGAGGATCATGGAACAATTCACAATGGCTTTTCCCTGTTAACTATAAAATTCGTAATAAGGTAAAATGTGTTTATTTACTACTCACCATGGAGGGGGGGGGGGGGATAATTATTCAATTGTTATAAGTTATTATCAATGTTATTATCAATATTGTCCCTCTAACTTGATCTAAAGCCAAGTGTATTTATACCTTTTAGGGTATTACAAATAATGTGACTTTTACAATATTTTGTCCAATAAAATCTCTTATAGATATCTATCTTGTATAACTCGCCAAGCAAAGTGGCTTACTATCTCTAAGTAAATATTTAGTCAAATGAGTAGTAATACAATAATACACAAGTACAGTCAGGGAGATTTCCAAATTTGGAGATTAAGATGGATTCTGGAAAAATTCGAACCCTCTCATTGATCAATTCATATATGAATCATAGAGTTTATGTGATGCTACCATAATATGTAAACAAAAAAATTTCTTTAAAAAATCCAATTTATAATAATTGAAATAAATACTATAGAACTTGCTCTATCGGAATTTTCAAAAATCTGTTAAAATCTGTTAATTTCTTCAAGTGCACTTCCATTAAAAATTGAGGAAATTACATATGCTTTTAACACCTTTTTTTTTCCAATTCTATAGTTGGCTTGGTTTAAAGACATCCTAAATTTTTAAAAGTATAGAAGTCATTTTTTGTCCTACATTTTAAAAAAATAGCTCTATTGGTTGATAGGTCTTTAATTTTAATGTAATAGAGATTTTCTCAAAAAAATTATTTGTTGTAGAGTTCTATTCTTTCTTAAAACACGTGCTTTACTATGCTCATGAGGAATTTGAGCACTAGGATTATTACTAAATTTAGACTAGTTTTCGATCATCGTTACTAAATTTAGACCAATACTCGACAATCATATCTAATTTGGCAGGAAGGAAAATAATTTTTTACCAAAATCATGTGAAGACCTTTTATTGAAAAGTTTTATTGCATTTTTGAACGAATCACAAAATCGCAATTTTTGAAATTTGAGCACATGGCGCACCGGTCTTTAGACTGAGCCAACGATAGTGAATAAACATCAAAACAAACTGCCAGTACTTTAACATGTTTATTTGCTTCACTTGCTCAAGAATATCCTGAGAGTAATTTAAAGCTATGCAAAACTAAATGTGATGAATCTTGGAAGCATGCATCAGGATTAACAGCAAAGGAACACATAAACCTTTTGCTAAATATTTTCCTAAATTACAAGTTAGTAATGGTAAACACTAGACCACCAGACTTAATAATCATGAAGTAATTTTTTACATAAGGAATTCATTTATAATTTTAATAACAATAACAAGGAAAAAAAAACAAGACATAATAAATCATCTATATACAAAAGGTATAATTTAACAATTTACTATTAATTCAACATGCATTGTTAATAATAATAGGAAAGGGAAAGCAAAAGGCCAGACACATTACTTCTAGTCCAAGTCCTAGTTGAAGACTTACTCCTAATATTTGTCCTACTAGCAGGAAGTTGAATGGATTCTAAAAGATGATCAAGTGACAGGTTAATGAATTCAAAAAAACAACCTCCTCAGTATATGCCGTTTATAGAAAAAATTATTGAATTTGTATGATAACTTCATGATTGCAATTTACAACTATTGATTGTTTTTTGGTAGGCTTATAAAGCAGTTAAAAATGCACATAATACATAATTTTGGTAGTTTATGATCATCCTGAATATTATAGATATTCCGATAAACAGCAGATGAATTAAAATCAATTAGAAAAGAGTTTGATAAAATGGATAAAATAAAATTTGATCCTTCAACAATTACTGCAGTAATTCATCCAAATGCAGTTTATATTAGTAGATTTCTTAAAATTTACAAACCTTCCCCAACCTGTGAATTCCAATACAGTAACAACTATTGGTAATAATAATGGTAATTATTAACATTCAATCATTGATTATTTTCACTTTTATTAATTTTAAAATTAACAATATTTATTAATATCCACTCTTGTGATAAATATTTTATAGATTCTAAACAAATTGATTTAGCTATTTTTGTAGATTCTAAAAGATTGAATTAACTATACCAGATAAATTACCTGAATAAGTTAAATCTTGTTTTTAAATATCTTGAGTAATGATATTATACAAAAGTAACTTTTTCACAATTATTTTGGAATTTTTTTTTTCTTTTGATAAGTTAAGTTGCACACACTAAAATTAATGAAACATACATAATTGTAGCATTATTTATTTCTTACCTTTTCAAATCTGTTTTTATTGAGTCTATACAGGTTCCGTATTCCGTACATCTGCGCCTCTGTAGTAATTTTTTTTTATTATTATTGTGTATAAATGCTATAGTGGCTATAGTTTTTTTTAAAATCTAAATTAGTAAAATAAAAAAATAATAAGGAATAGTGCATTAATGATTATTGTGAAATTTATCTAACTGGCAGGGTTTTTGACCTGCCACGACATAGTAATTCATCTGAAAATTATCATGCAACTCCGCGTCTTTTTACTAGTGCCATAATTGAAAAGTGAGACGTTACTCGGATATTTCCATACCAGAGACTTTAGTTAGCTCACCCCCAACAGTTCCATCTTCAACATTGTATTCTCCAATTCGAGTAACATTGCTGATTTTTAGCTCCTAATGACTCTGCTTTGATCCTTTGCAGGCGGCTAATGAATTGGATTCTTTAAAGTCATATATCAGGAACCGGTGGGGCAGCATTATTGAGGTCATTTTTTTGGTCACATTAGACTTTTTTATAAGAATTTAATCCGTGATTAAGAGTTTATAAATATAACATCAGGGCTTGCTTTTTGCAAAATGATTGATGACATCTTTAAAATTTTTATAAATTTATATCAGTTTGTAACTTGGGATACATGTAAATTTTCATAATGTAGTTAATAAATAAAAAATAAAGTATTTAAACAAATTATAAATAATACAATCAAATTTTATTACTCATGCTTGAAACAATGAATTATTTATCAAAACTTAAGCTACGTGTGGTATAAATTTAATGGGTTGTTATTATGTACAATTTGCATAATTAACAAAATCACGCATTCCGATTCGTTTGTTTAATATTAAGCATTGTATTTATTATAAATCCTCGGTTTAAACTGCAATTAAATTGAGGTTTGAGCCATCAGTTTATTATTAACATAGTAAACTGCCAGTCAACTAGTCAAATTAGCAGTTTATGAACCGAACCAGTCGGAGTGGCCTGTCAATATGTAGAAATGTTTTTGGAAGTGATGGTGCTTCTAATATGACTGGTATGAATTAATATTTAATTAAGTAAAGTTTAGTATTTTTTTTTTTATCTTAACTGAGAATACATTTTTATTAGGATACATAAGTGGTGTTGCATAAAGACTAGTGCTGTAAATTATGATGATGGTAGTAATTGTATTTACGGCATATAAAAAGTTGTTGCAATTACCTTTGCGACCACTTTTGCAACCATACTTTTTCCTTTTTTGGATTACGGCACTAGTCTTAAGTGTTGCAGCAAGATTTAAAAAAACCAATCCATTTATGACTTCAAACCATTGTATATCACATAGACTTCATCTAGCTGGAAAAGATGCTTCAAAATATGTTATATATTTTGAGAAATACGAAAAAAACTTTAAAAATTTGTATAATTATTTTTCAAAATCTCATAAAAGACAACAAATGTTGAAGTTGATGCAGGTAATTACATTTATATTTTTTAATCTGTTTTTTCATTTATTTTTATTAAATAATTTTTATTTTAATTAGGAAATTAATGAAGAGCCATCACTTGTAATTTTAAACATGTGTGATACTAGGTGGTTGTCATTTTCAAATTCTGTGAGTAATTTACATAAAATCATGAAATCTGTATTGTCTACTCT